AGTACTTTGTATTACAAAGCTTGCACAAGGCACTTCCCAGTAGTACTTTGTACTACGAAGCTTGCCCAGGGTAATTCCCAGTACCACTTTGTACTACAAAGCTTGCACAAAGTGCCCCCCAGTACTTCCCAGTACTACATTGCACTTCACTCTCCACACTCCACACTTCACACTCCACACTTCACACTTCACACTCTCCATCCCACTCCGCACTTCACACTCCACACTCCAGACTTCACACTCCACACTTCACACTTCACACTCTCCACTCTCCACTCCACCCTTCACATTTCACACTCAACACTTCACGCTTCACACGTCACACTCCAAAAATCACACTTCACACTCCACACTTCACACGTCACGCTCTCCACTTCACACTTCACACTCCACACTGCACACTTCGCACTGCACACTCTCCACTTCACACTTCACACGCCACACTTCACAATGCACTCTCACATGACCTTTTCTCACTTTCCCCATAGACAGCGGCGACGATGCCATTAGAGACCAACAAACCAACTTTTGCTTCAGTGCCACAAAGCCCCACACCTGCCATGCGAAATGTTTTCACACGTCACAACACATCACCGCTTCTCGCTTTCCCCATAGAGAGCGGCGAAGACGCCATTAGAGACCCCCCAAAGCAACTTTCGCTTGAGTGCCGCAAAGTCCAACGCTTGGATTGGTTAGGCCCGTCAGTTTAACACATAAGATTTGATGAAACAACACATAATATAGACACGTAGTATCATATATAATTAATAGGATACAGTCGTATCACTGTCCAGTGTCCGTTTGGTTACTGCCCTGACCCTTGCCAAAGTTTTTCACCTCTTTCTGTCGCGTAGGAACGGTTTGGTGGCGATGAGGAACAAGAAGTTCGAATACAAGATGTATTTTGGAGGCCCCAACGACGCGGGCACCAAATGGAACGGCTACGAGTCCTATTGGAACAACGGCACCACGGCTCTGGGTTCCTCGGTGGCCGCCAAGGGTATCTCTTTGAACTTGTTTGTTTAACGACTGTATTGCTACATCTTGCTATATTTATGGATGTTTGCTATATTTGTTTAATGGTGGAAACCTATAATCAAAGCTGTTGGCCGTGGGCTATTTTGGACTGTTCCTTCACCGTGGTTGCAACGCCGTTGTTTTCTAGGCCCAGACGAAGCCTTGTACAACGTGGGGGGCGGACAATGGCATTACGAAATGGGTTTTTCGGACCCCTACTTTGGCAGCACGCAAGCCATGGTCAGCGCCTACTACGCGCAGCTGGGGAAGAATCCCACCTACGATGGAGCTGCTTGTATGGCGGCCGGCAGCATGGCTGATCATGTGGTCGAAGGGTCCCAGTGTCATGGTCCGTTGCCTGTTCCTGATGTACTTTCGGCATGTAGAGATTTGAAAGCGGTCAATGACTTCGAAAAACTTTTTCCTATAGAATAACTTGGACATGTGTGCGACACCCCGCCCCGAATGATCCGAACACCGAAGTTGGGTTGCATTTTTCATGGATAGTCTAAATCGAAGGTCCGCTTGCAAAAGCCAAATCAGATAGTTAAACTGATGCCTCAAGCGCCTCAAGGACACACGAGGATCCATATCGAAGCGTCCAGCTTTGCAGCGGTATAGATCAGGATATAACTACAGAGCAGTAGAAAGACGTTTGATGACGTTTTGGATGGGATTGGGGCCAAACGCCTGCATCATTTCTTTGTTTGAGGCAAGTTCACCCCACAACTGGAATGGCGCCTATTCCCCTATGGATGGCACCTATATCACCTTAGTTCACCCCCCAGTGACATTGCCCCTAAGTACAGGGCCCGAACTACCTGGGGTTAACTAACCAACGATTCCGCGGCCGGAAAGCTCACCATTTCGGCCGATGCCACTGAGTATACACTGCTGATGATTGATCTATGTTAATGTCCCTTTGTGATGGGGATTTCCCCCAGCCATGTTTGATTACCCCACATGGCTTGTAGATCCCCTTGTACGATATTATACGCGCGCGCTATATTCTCATGATTTTTTTTTCAATCCCCATTTTCAGTTGGTTCATAACCCATATCAGTTTGTTCATATCACTATATTCCCACTTTACCCACAATTAACATCATTAAATCACCATTATGATAAGTGATTTGCTATGTCCCCAGTAAAATCCCATGAGATCCCCATTGCACCACCAGTAGATCATCCATTAGATCTCCATTGTTCATGCTTGAATCTCATGAAACTGGAAATCCCATCAATTCACGCATATATATATATACACACATATTGCATGTGTATAGAGTTTAAGATTGGTATATAATTGTACGGAATGGATCCAGACACTTTGAGTACCGTATTAGATTTATATACATATATGTATATTTACATATATACGTATACATATACATACATTTGCACAAACAAACCAAACATCACCCACTATTCTCCACAATCAAAGTCAATCAATGTCCATCAATGCTAAATCAATTTGTAGATTTCATGAGGAGCTGGCTTTCGCGGAAGCTCCGCGGAAGCAGAATCAACTTACCAACCATCCGCGGAAGCTGAAACTGTGGTGGCGGAAGCAGCGCGGAAGACCGCGCGGAAGACAAGTAAGATTATAAGAGAATTACATAGGGGTTTTCGCCACCGCTCAATTCCTCAGGTATCGCCGTGAGCTTCGGGCTGCAGAAGTACGGCCAATCATTACTGGGGATGACCGTGGCGCAGCGCCGCGAGGAGATTCGGATCTCAGTGGGCACCTTGAACGACGAGACGCTCTACGGCATGGTGCGTGCCTGGGACGGGACGGCTGGGAGATCACTGGAGATATGATGGGATGATGGGGAGAGAGAGAGAGAGAGAGAGAGAGATAGATAGATCGATAGATAGATAGACAGATAGATAGATAGATAGATATGTATATATATATATATATTACGAAAGCCAGCCGCTAAATATATATATATATGTGTGTATTACAAAGTAAGGGGTCTGGGAACGTATACGGGTGAAAAACCTGTGGGTGAAAAATGTGACAAGGCTGTGCGTGAAAAAGTCAGTGGGTGAAAAGTCTCTGGGCGAAAAGTGTGTGGGTGAAAAGTGCGCGGGCGACAAGTCCGTCGATCAAAAGTATATGAGTGAAACGGGTATGGGTGAAAAGTCTGAGTTTGCAAAGTCTGTGGGTGAAAAGTCTGTGTGCGGGTGAAAGTCTGTAGGTGAAAAGTATATGGTTGAACAGTCTTGAGTGAAAAGTATATGGGTGAGAAGTATATGGGTGAAAGACGGTGGGTGAAAGGTTTGTGGGTGAAGAGTATATGGGTGAAAAGTCTATGGGTAAAAAGCCTGTGGAAAAAGAGGCGCTCGGTGAAGAGTCTCTGGGTGAAAAGTATATATGTGAAAAGTATGTGGCTAAAAAGTCTGTGGGTGAAAAGTTTGCGGGTAATAAGTCTGTGGGTGAAAAGTGTGGGCGAGAAGTTTTTGGTTGAACTCAACGGTTGAACAGTCTGTGGGTGAACAGTGTGTGGGTGAAAAGTCTGTGGGTCAAAAGTATATGGGTGAAACAGCTATGGGTGAAAGTCTGCCGGTGAAAAGTCTGTGGGTGAAAAGTCTGTGGGTCAAAAGCCTATGGGTTAAAAATAATTATATGGTGAAAAGTTAGTTTCTGGGCAACAAGTGCATCGGTGAAACGTATATGGAGGAAGAAAAGTATATGGGGCAAATGATCTGGAGCAAAAAATATATTGGTGAAGAGTCTCTGGCTGAAAAGTATATGGTTGAACAGTCTGTGGGTGAAAACTATTTGGGTGAGAAGTATATGGGTGAAAGACTGTGGGTGAAAAGTCCCTGGGTGAAAAGTATACGGGTGAAAAGTCTGTGGGTGAAAGACGGTGGGTGAAAAGTCTGAGGTGCAAAGTCTGCCGGTGAAAAGTCTGTGGGCGAAAAGTGTATGGGTGAAAGTCTGTGGGTGAAAAGTATACGGTTGAACAGTCTTGGGTGAAAAGTATATGGGTGAGAAGTGTATGGGTGAAAAGGATGCGGGTGAAAAGTCTGTGGGAAAAGAGTTTCTGGGTGAAGATTCTCTGGGTGAAGAGTATGTGGCTGAAAAGCCTGTGGGTGAAAAGTCTTTTAGTGAAAAGTCAGTGCAAGAAGAGTCTCTGGGTGAAGAGTCTCTGGGGGAAAAGTCTGTGGGTGAAAAGTATGTGGGTGGGTGAAAAGTATATGGGGGAAAAGTCTGTGGGTGAGAAGTATATGGTTGAACCGTTTGTGGGTGAAAAGTGTATGGGTGAGAAGTATATGGGTGAAAGACTCTGTGGGTGAAGAGTATATGGGTGAAAAATCGGGTGGTTAAAAATCTATGGGGGAAAATAGGGGTAGATGGGCTGCTGGCTTTCGTTCCACCCTCCTCAGGTATGTATATATTATGTTTTATATATGTGTAAAGATACATCTTTTTTATGTACAGAGATATGTAATGGTATGTATCAGTTGATATGGAATACGGTTCTCATAGGATTTAAACCTGAAAAATATTGAAACATGGGGATCTAATGGAGTCTAAGGTATAATGTGATCATCCCACGGTCCTAGTCACTGGTTGAGGTAGAACGGGTATCCAATGGGACTATAATCGCTTTAATCATCCCACGAAACTATTGAAACTGGTTAATGAGCACAGTTGTAGCCCATATATACCCGAAGTCTATATCAATTTTGGACTTTCGTACGATCACGTGTGCCAGTCACTGATCCAGTGGTGAGATCCTCAGCCTCAGCACTGAGGTTTTAATCGGTTTAATCAGAACAATGGTCGCTTGACGGTGAATTGGCAAGTGCTGGAAGATGGTGGCACCAGGCAAGGGGCAGTGGTGATGGCTCTGTGATTTTATTTGGTGTGTGTGTGTTTGTTCACCTACAGGTTAGATACCTGTAGCACGAGCCTTACATGATATGTTTAAATTAATAAACAAAAATTAGTTGGAAACAGATTCCAACTCTATTGATTCCTTTGATTCCTTATCCCCCGAGACGCCAACAGTGGACAGTGAAACTCACTATGTTCAACTGGCATTGGAGGTGGGGGATAACCCGAAGGACCAACAATGATTTACGGAAGTTGTTCAAATCTGAAGGTCTTTGCTGGGTACTCAGCCCACGTTTTGACACCAACTATATCCATTTGTATCACTTTTATTAAATCCAACATATATCAGAATGTTCATAGTCTTGAGACTTTACCCAACCCAGCCATGACGTGCACGCCCCAGGCCGGTGCTTCCGCCGGAAGCTGCGGCCACGCAGTTCCGCTTCCCCAGCCCCACCTGGGATGCGCGCTTAGGGTGCCCTGCTGGGACTTACGCCGACGGTGTGCTCCAGGTACCCACGCAGTGCACGCCCTGTCCCGAGGGGAGGCGGACAAGTGGGAAGCGGCGAAGCGGAATCGGATGGGTTAACTTCATGGTTGGATCTATGGTGAAAGGGTTGACAATCCAAAAATGGATAAAAATGGTGGGTTATGCATGGGGATACATGGGGATTTTATTCATCTTATGGCATATCATATCATTCTAGAATAATGCAACACTACTTGTATGTACTCGTAACATATATGCATTGGTTTTAGTTAACACCAGGGGAATCCAGGGGATACGATCAAACATGGTGATGTACAGTGGGATATAATTCGTATTTGTATCTGCATATGTATATATATATATATACAGATACATTTAGCCTGTGGTTATGAGAAGTAGGAGGAATTAAGGAACCGTAAACGGATAGGACATGAATGATGACATGACCTACCAAAACGTGTATTACATGTGTATATATATATTTGTGTGTGTGTATATATCGCCACCAAAGACTGGCACATATCATTCAAGTGGTGTTAATGGATTTTTAAATGTCCATTCTACCCTGAGGTTTCATGATTCCAAACCTCACAAATCGAACAACAGAAACCGCCAATCAACGACAGACAACCTCAATCTAGGGGAATCATGCATGTTTGATGAGGTTTCCAGATATGTACATGTGAATGCTGACCAAAATTTGTGACATGTACAGCAATTAGTTACATGCAATTACATTCTACATCATTCTACTTCTACTACACTCTCTCTCTCTCTATTATATATATATATTAAAATATGTATAACGTTTGAACGTCTTAAGAGCACGAGGCACGAGGCATGTTTTTTTGTTTTGAGTGACATGACATCCCAATCCCAATGAGTTTCTCAGCGTCTGCGACAGGGCACGTTCCGTGCCAAGCCCTGGGTTGAACTTCACCCAATGCGACATATGTCCCATGGGCTTCGGCACGCTGCCGGCGCAGACGGGCCTGCTGGAGTGTCCCGCCTGTCCGGCCGGACGGTATCAAAACGGCGACTCCGATCGAGGCAGGAGCATGGTGGACCTACAAGTAGTTAGAAGCGAACTATGAAGTTTATCATGTTTTCAATCTGATCAACACCCAGTCGAGTTTTCAATAATTATCTAGTTTATCAGTGTATCACTAATTAGAGAGAGAGAGAGACTGGGAATCCAACTGATTATATAACTGTTTAATGACCAGAGTTAAATTTGATCCAGGTTTGATCCTCCTCTAGGGTCAAAAGGATTCAACATGTTTCAGCCGTGTTTAATGATCTTAAGTTTGGGTCCATCCTGCTGGGCATGATGATCCCAGTTCTTGGTGGAGGATGTGTTGAAAACACCAATCAGTTTGTTGAAAACACGCTCCCAGAGAATCTGACCATTTTTTTCTGCTAAATGTTGAGATGGTCCCATGACATTCCATAGTGACAAGTGGATAGTGGTTCATAGCCATAGTTACCATAGTTGACCTTACTTGTGGCGGTTGCAGCCACACGTGCAAAACGTGTTGGTGAGATGTCGCGGGCACGCTTTTTGATCATTTAACACGGAATTCGAAAATTGCCAATCTATAGATGTGTTATCATGTTATCTAAGGATTTTCCATTGCTATCTGGAATTTCCGCGGTGTAGCTTTTGGGGATTCACTGGGCTGCAGCAGCGCTCTCAACAAAGCAAAGACCCGCTGTTGCTGAGAGGAGCCCCTCAGTGATAACGAAAACCCCGGATTAACTGGTTGTCTAATTGGGGGTTCCAATTCAGTTCATGAATTCACGCTTTTTGTGGTGCTCCACCTGATCAATCATCCAGTTTGTTTGTGCATGTAATATTTTCAAAGCTGGCCTTTTGGCTTTGATCAAGTGTAGTATCTGTACAGTTAACACAGACCAAACCAACCTGCGGTGGGTATCAACTGAACTTCCTACTGCAGGCTTCTTTTGTCCAAACAAAACAGGTGTTTCGCTGCTCCGCAATTATGAGCCCAAACCGTACCTCGCTTTGCTGAAACATGGCGCATCGCCGTGGGAGAAGCGAACCTGGACATCGAGAAGGCCACCTCTACATGAATGGGGATGATCAGGTGAACCCTTTCTGGTCTCGTACAAGATGCAGCTGTGGTGGATGGGCTGAGACCGATTGCCGCAGATTCGGGAACAGCTGTTCCTGCTGATGAATGGGATCAAGGAGATGAAACACCAAGACCAGCGCAAGGACTTCTTGGGGCGATGGGCAGCGGTGGAGGAATGGTTAGAAGTCGAGGCACAATGCCAATTCAAATGGCATTTGAAACACCTAGCAGCCAGCAGCTGGAATCCACAAACTCCAAGACCACAGGGCACCCAGGTGTTCAGGATGAATGAGGAGGCAACCAACTTCAACCTCTTCGACTTGGATGGGGACCTAGCGCATCAATCTTCTTGTGCAGGAATTCCTCAAGTAGATCTTCTCGGCCCTCTTGGTGTTGAAGGACATCGAGGGAAAGGTCAAGGGGGAAACGATCAAAGAGAACGACATGGTGATGCGCTTCGTTCTCAAGGACCTCTACGGCAAGACCATGTAGAAAGGGGTGGTAATGCCGCTGGACAAAGCCAACGTTCTCTCGATCTCCTAGGTGATGCTCTTCGAGGTTCACATGGCGATGCAACTCTGCAACGAGGGCAGGGACAACGAATCCATCAAAGGAGTCCTGAAAACCTTCAACTTGTGGGCAATCGCCAAGGTAATGACAGAGATCCTCGTGGACTTTCGGCAGATCATGAACGAAAAATCGAAGCCGACCAAGAGGTGAAGACCGTCTTCAACGACAAGGTCAAGATCATCTGCTGGGGAAAGAAAACCATGCAGAGACAGAAAAGGTCCAGTCAAAGGATCGAGAAGGCCCAACGTTGGAGCAAGATTTGAGCTCACTGTTTGTGCAACAGTTGATGCATGAGAATGAGGAGCTCAGAAAAAGGTTGGATGCAATGAGCCAATCCCAGCAACCCCCTCGTGCACAACAAGTTCAACAAGTTCAACAACATCAAGATAATTTGGACACTTCAAATTGGGAGTCTGTGCCTTCAAGAACGGCTCCGACAGCGTCAACGAACCGCCAGACAAAAGACGTGAACAAAGTCACTCCCTGATGGACCACCGCCAATCGAAACGGTGGAGACGGATCCAATGCCACCGCCTCTGTCTCCGTTGCTACCCACGCCTTTGGGAGACTACGAGGTGTACAACGAGGCGGTGGTCAACAAATGGCTGGGACCTCAATCAGTTCATGTGGGTTCTAAGCAGGATGATGGTGATCTACATGGCGTCTGGCACAGCAGAAGAGATGGAGTTCAACAAGTACCAGATCCCGATGCGGAAAGAGTACAATGACTTGAGCAAGAACTCAAGGATCTCCGTGAACCCTTGGGACCTCCGAATGCTGATTTATCCATGGCTCAATCGAATCTCCGTCAAGCCGGCAATGGCATCAACACGAGGGACTGGGTCCAGGTCAACAGTGGAAATTTTCATCTTCATCAACAAGGGCAACCCATGTCTGGAAACCAACTTGGAGGTGGACACCCATTTCAACCTGGAGACCAACGTGGTGGACTTCATGGGGGGGCGGGACAACCACAACAAGGAGGCCAGTTTGGAGATCAACAATATCGTGGTCAACATCATGGAGGCGGAAACTTTGTACCAGGGAATTTCCTGGGTGGAGGAGTTCAAGATGACCGGACTAGTGAAGAAGAGCTCAAACCGGTGACCATCACTCTTCCCAAACTTCCTGACTTGGGAGGCAAAAACCGAGGGCTCGAAGCTGGCGACTGGATGGCACAGATCAGACTTCAGATTGCCGATGTGAGACATCGTGCGATGTGGTGGTGGGATACTTTGGTGACAATGACCACCCAGCGATATGAACAATGGTTGGGAAGGGACCCCATCACTCGCCTCAACGTGCAACCTCCTACGGTGGCCGACTTGCCCCAGGGATTTACAAGTTTGGAACAAAGGGTGACTTCACTGCTTACGCAGGCGATCCCAAAGAGCTCGGCCACCGAGATGATTGCAAATCGACAACTGGGTGCCGCTCAGATCATCTTCAAAGTGATGAAAGTGTATCAGGCAGGTGGCTTGGACAACAACCCAACCAGGGGGGACGTACCTTGAAGCTTCTACATCATTGAGGATGTGGCAACGACACTACTCTCGCGCTGAAGAGTTGGGTGCGACGGTGCCAGACCCTACCTTGATGGTAGGAGCGCTAGATAAAATAATGCGCAAACTTCTTCAGGGGAATCAGCAAGCAAATTTTCGCTCGAGCGCGTTCCGCATGGGGGCTGCCAACTGCTGCCACGGTCAAACAAATACATCAAATGCTACTAGCAGAAGTTGAACTTGCACTAGGCAGCACTGACGTCTCAGGAAAGCTTCAAGGTGGACTTGCAGTGAAAGCCTTGCAGGCCCCAGAAAGCTGGGACACCAGTACAACCAACCTGCCGCTTCTGGAAGTCCGACAAGAAGCTCAATGTAAGTTCCAGCATCCAGCTCATGACGATGGCAAATACCACTGCTACACCTGTGGAGCAACCTCTCACAAAATACCGGACTGCCCATACAACTCTCCGACCAAGGAGGACCAAGGCCCAACTGCGACTGTAGCTTCTAAGGGGTCTCCAGCCGGAGGGAGTGCGGTGATGGAAAAAGCACTGGAAAACAATGAACATGTATGTACGTATGTTATGTTAAGTTATGTTATGTTATGTATTCTATGTATGTTGTGTATGTAATATAGCGTAATGTAATGTAATGTAAAGTAATGTAATGTAATGTGATGTGATGTGATGTGATGTGATGTAATGTGTGTGTGTATGTATGTATGTATGTATGTATGTATGTATGTATGTATGTATGTATGTATGTATGTATGTATGTATGTATGTATGTATGTATGTATGTATGTATGTATGTATGTATGTATGTATGTAACTATGTATGTAACTATGTATGTATGTAATGTAATGTAATGTAATGTAATGTAATGTAATGTAATGTAATGTAATGTAATGTAATGTAATGTAATGTAATGTAATGTAATGTAATGTAATGTATGTGTGTATGTATGCATGCATGGATGTATGTAATGTATGTATGTATGTCATGTAATGTAATGTAACGTAACGTAACGTAATGTAATGTAATGTAATGTATGTATGTATTTATGCATGGTATGTATTTAGTGTAGTGCAATGTGATGCAGTGTAATGTAACGTAACATAACGCTATGTCATGTAATGTATCTACGTATTGTATGTATGTAATGTATGTTCGTCATGTTTGTAGTAATGCAATGTAATGTAGTGCAATGCAATGTAATGTATGCAACGCAATGCAAATGCAATGCAAATGCAATGCAAAAGCAATGCATTGCAATGCAACGCAATGCAACGCAATGCACTGTAATGTAATCTTAGTAAGTATGTATGAATGTATGTATGAATGTATGTATGTATGTATGTATGTAGTATGTATTTGTTTCATGTATTTTTATGTATGTATATGTGTGTGTATGTATATGTATGTATTTGTATGTACGTGTATGTATTTGAATGTATGTATGTATGTATGTATGTATGTATGTATGTATGTGTCAATGTGTGTTAATGTGTATTAATGCAATGTAATGTAATGTAACGTAATGTAACGTAGTGTAATTTAGTGTAATGTATTGTATATATTTATTTGTATCACACACATAATTATATTTTTTTTAACCTTGATATCTGATATATGTCATAGTTGATGGTCATAACTAAGAGGGCACGACTTCAATCACCTCCCAGCAGCGTCTCCGGAGGTGTGTGCAACCAATGCCCCGTGGGCACGTCCCGCAGAGCCAACACCAGCGGCGGATGCAGCCTCTGTGCTGCGCAAAGCTATGCAGATGTCACCGGCTTGGACGAGTGCAAACCATGCCCTTCCCAAAGCTCCCAGGCACGTGAGGTATGTTTCCAACGGATGGTGAAATCACGAAATTTCGAGAAATGAGGATTTCATGGGATTTAATAGGGTTTAGTAGGTTGACCCTCCAGTAAACTAAGATAGCGAGCCTAAAAATCTGGATCTTAATAGGTAAGTCATCGAACTAAATAGGCAAATGCCCACTGGAGGGTAACACGGATTTAGCCACCTCTTCTAGATCTTAACCATCAAAACTATGAGGATGCTAAATCATATGGTTGGTTGATGATTAGTGTGGGGGTTTAGTAAGACTAGCCTTTCTATATTGGGGATTGCCAGAATTCATAAGCTGTGCCCGTTCTTAAGGAACCAGAATTTCAAGCACTGACCTGGGGTCCTTTAGAGGAGAAAGAGAAGCGATAGCATCCACTGGAATGATGGGATGTGGATTGGAGCAGCTTATCCCAAAATGGTATCAGCTTAGTCTAGTTAAGTGGATTTGGACTGGAGAAACTAATTTTTGATTTCAGTTTAGTGATGATTTACTGCATCTGATCTATAATGAGATCATGGGTACTTCGATGTTGTGCAAGGTATGATTCGTTCATGGTACGGTGGGGTGGAGTGGGTTGGGGCTAATCTTTGGCACCACTTGCACACCAACATGATGCTACGTTAGAGATCGGGTGGGGTGGGGCTAATAACGTTCCTTGGCCTTTGCACACCTACATGATGCTACGTTAGAGATGGGGTGGGGTGGGGTCGGATGGGGCTAATAACGTTCCTTGGCGCTTGCACACCTACATGATGCTACGTTAGAGATGCGTGGGGTGGGGTGGGATGTTGTTACGTTGATGTTACATTGATAGAATATGTAGTGGCGCTTGCACATACAAAAAAAAAATCTCGAACAAATGGAAGCCAATCGTTTTTGCCCAAAAAGACAAATGCCATGGAGGAACCAGCGAAAATCGTTGGAAGTGGGCGCGAAACTTCCAGTGGAGGCAAAATGCTTCCATCACAAGTTCCATCTTGGAAGAACTTCCCACATGCTTGTGGCAGAGTTGAGAAAAGATTCTTCTAAGCCGTTTGGGCATGGGATTTCTTGGATCAACAGGCATTTCCATTTTTTCCCTGGCGTGGTAACAAAATAATCGTTTCGCCTGCACAAAACACAATTTTTGTTCATTTTGAATTGGCCCGCGCAGTACAAAATGATACTCCCTAAATGCCTCCCAAAGATGAAAAATGTAAAACACACTGGGTTTTCAGCATTTCACCTTGAGAACGAAGAAAAGAATGTCGACAGTTGCAGGGCGGCGAGTCAGCCGATTTCCCTGTTTTTACACCATATGTTCTTGACTTTTCTCCAGAAGACGGAAGTGTATCTGATAGGGTCTACGCATTCAAATGTGCAATCAGGTACTTGACGTGAACCTGAAGCATCTGGAGCTACAATTATTGTAATTTGGATTATATAGTATATATATATATGCGGGTGTTTCTCCAAGAAGTACGGAACCTTAAAGGCTAAAAATGCACAGATCCATTCCTTTGGAAAAATCCTTAGGTGATTCAGATGAAGGTCAAATACCAGAGACAAACTGGAACAGGACCGATGACGTAAATGGTCAAGAAGACTGATGATGGCAAGTTCCTTTTCATCGGGTTCATAGATGTTTATATATTTTTATATCATACAATGATATGTATACACATCTTTATATATGTATGTCATTCTGAGTGTATATGCGTCTATATTCTAATTTACATATATTACCGAAAAAAGTTTAGAAGTCAAACTTCCGACAATATGGACAGATGAAAAGCAGAGATGGGAAGAGTCAGCGAAGAGAAGAGAAGAAGAAATAAGATCAAAAAAGAGAAAGTTTCAGAAGAAAGAAGATCCAGGTGCGCGAAAAGGTAGGAAAGTCGCGAAACACTGTGTTTTTTCCAATGATTTGTGGCTCCGGAAGGTCGAAAAGTGGGCTCGCTAAAGCGGCGGGTGCGGAGCCACCTGGCCAGATGAGAGATGAAAAATTGCACGCCGTTGTGGCGCGAAGATGCGCGAAGCACATTTCAAAGTCAAAATGTACAAAGCACACCAGCTCCGGAGCACTTTTGGAAGTTGAGATATCGAAAAAGTGCACGCCGTTGTGGCGCGAAGCACATTTCCAAGTCAACATGTACAAAGCACACCAGGTTCGGACCACTTTTAGAAGTTGAGATGATGAAAAAGTGCACGCCGTTGTGGCGAGAAGCACAGTTCGAAGTCAAAATGTTCAAAACACCTCAGTTTCGGACCACTTTTGGAAGTTGAGATGTCGAAAAAGTGCATGCCGTTGCGCATTTCGATGTCAAAATGTGAAAAGCACCACATGCTTGGACCACTTTTGGACGTTCCGATGTCGTTTTGCATGGCAGGCAGGCGCACGGGATTGTGCACCTTTACAAAAGTGAGCAAAACGTGAGGGTTTTGTAGCATTTCCAAAAACGATGGCAGGCGTGGGACATTTGAAGAGGATCTGCAAAGATGCATGTTCCGTGGCAGGCGCAGTACAAGAGACATGTTCATCAGAGCTGTTAGGAAGTCCGGGCGCTGATTTCCTGATAGGGGTTGCATTTTGGAGCATCAGATCTTCAGGTTTGCTGAGATGATTTTGCGTGACAGGTGCAGCACTTCGTATGACCTGGCATCACTTGTTCGTGGCAGGCGCAGTACTTTAGACAGGTTGACTGGAAAAATCGCAAAATGCATTGGTAGGAGGCCGTCAGCTCTGCACTCAGTTTTTGATGTTGTCAACTTCAAAAAATGATGAAGTCTCTCGCAGAATTGTTTCGTTTTTGATGTTGTCAACTTAAAAAATGAGGAAGTCTTGCAGAATTGTTTCGTTTTTGATGTTGTCAAGTGCAAAAATTGATGCAGTTTCGCTGAATACACTACATTACACTAATTGCATCTAATTACACTACACGACACCAATTACACTAACAACTCCAACAACTACTACCACAACTACAACTACAATTACAGCTACACTACACTACACTAACTACACTGCAGCGCGCTACAGCTACAACCCACCTGCAACTACAACCACACTACATTACACAACACTACGCTACACTGATTAGATTGCATTGCGCTATATTGCGCTACAACTGCAACTGCAGCTGCAACTACAACTACAACTACCACTACATTACACTACACTACATTATACTATACTACAGCACTACACGCACTAATTGCTCTTCACTACACTACAACTACACCTACACCACCTTACGCTAGACTACGCTACACTATAGCACACGACACTACGCAACACTACACGACGTTACACTGCACTACACTACACTACACTAATTACACCACACCACGGCTACAACTGCAACTGCGCTTGCAACTACACTAGTTACACTACATTACAATTACAGCTCCACTACATTGCACTACACTACAACTACAGCTACAACTGCAACTACAACTGCCACATACTGGAACTACAATTGCAACTGCACTACACCTCACTACATTCAGCAGTTGTGGTAAGGTGACCACTGCAACCATTGCAACCACTTAAAAAAACACAACTCCAACCACCTGTCGGTCCATCAGCGGATTCGCTCTGCCATCTGTGATTCACAACAGCCAACCTCTCCTATAGGTTTATTTTTGAAATTTTTGCCACCGCATAGCGGTACTACTGGTGTATATATATATATATATAGATAATTATATCTATATATAATATAGTATCATTTATATATAATAGAATATAACATAATATAATATAATATCATGTAATATCATATCATATAATATAATTTCGTTTCATATAATTTAATTTCATATAATATAATATAATATAATATGATTTAATAATAATATAATATAACTAATATAGTTTAATTTCATATAATATATAATTTCATGTAATATCATATCATATAATAAAATTTAATTTCATATAATATAATATAATATAATATGATTTAATAAAATAATAATAATAATATAAATTAATTTAATTTAATTTCATATAATATAATTTCATATAATATAATTTAATTTCATATAACATAATATAATATAATAATATAATAATATAATAATATAATAATAATATAATAATAATAATATAACATAATAATATAATAATATAATAATTTATTTATATACTTTATGTTTAATAATATATATATATATATACATATATATATATACATAGATGTACACACATATTTAAGTCATGGGTGAAGTAACTGGGGCCACGACAACCACTTACGATTGTTGGGATGCTCCTCCAAGTAACCCAGTTGCAACAACTTCGCTCGGCTCAGGGCGATCTGGGTCAAACCTTCTGCTTCTGCGACGTAGGAAACTACAAAGATCCGTCGGATAGCATCCCTGTGGGCACGGTGCTACCATGCCTCGCCTGTGAGAGCGTGATTCCGGGCAGCACCACCTTGTACCCCAACTTGCGCTACAGCCATGAATGCGTCTGCCCCACAGGACGCTTGGAGATGAATATTTTTTGGTCATGAGGGGTAGGGGCTGATAAAAAACATTGTGGAATCCACTAGTTTCAGGGGGTCAGGTCGCAGTTTGGGTTGTTTTCTGAAGGAAATAGGAAATTGGAAACCAATTTTTTTCCATCCTGGCTGTTTGCACATGGACAAACTCTGGAGCGCATGAGCAGCGGTCAAAGACATGTGGAACTAGGATGAACTGGGAATATTCAGGGACGGTCGCATGTTAGTTAAGATTCAGATCAAAGACTCGAGTGTCCAAGCATTTCCTAGTGAGTTTGACCAATTTCCGGCATAACAAAACAAATTGGAATTGAAGTCACATGACACTTAAGAGTCCCTCAAGAAACAACCATCATTTTGCTGAGAATTTTTTGTTTTGCCACCCCATTGATCAATGAATGGTCAGCTGGCTTGGGCCGAGAGTATCACGACGGAGGTCCTCGAGGATTTCAGCGGGCTCCACCAGCCAACGATTCCCAAGCAGAGGCCAATCTTCTGTCTAGAATTATAGTGGCCTCACAGCGTCCTCACCATAAACTATGATTCATGAGGGGAATGAATAAGCACCTAACATAGCCCAAAACTTGCCTTTTTGTGCCTTTTTCTGGTTTGGAAATTCCATAGTAGACAATCATCAATTTATCACTCATTATCGAGTTCCTACATTTTCCTTTGAAAGAAAATCATGAAACAAATGCAATTTTTGCAGGGAAACACAGAAACATAAATCCCTGGCTTTTCAAAAAACTCAGAGCCCATGGATCTTGAGCCCCTCTTGGCCTTTTTTTTTGGCTCCGCTAGGAACGTATTTTCACCGCTTCAGCGCCAGCAGCGATGCGGGGCACTGCGAGTCCTGCGGCCTTGGCCTGGTCTGTTTGGGCGGCCGGGAGGGGTCGAGCACCAACAGTAGCGCGCCGCACCAGGCAGGGGAGCGGCAGCATTCAATGGCTGACCTTGGATAGGGGTAACCCCAAACTAATGGAAACTTCATAAAATATCATGAAATGTCATAGTTTTAAGTGTTTTTAAGACGTTTGAAGAATTTCGACAGGTTCAACGATGGAGATATTACTCAGTAGAAGTGAGGACATATCACCAGACGGAGATACAACGATAGAATATGATGTGAGATGGTGACACACCTCAGGAGTAGAGAAGGAGATCTAGTGATACATGGTTGGTGCTGTCAGGTACTCTTAATCTTCTATCTTCTTTCGGATAATTATATATCCCCATTAACTGTAAATTTTCAAGGGTCCATTTTAACTGGTTAGTCCCTGTGTTTTCGTGCTACCGGTATATGGGATCTTGGATAGCCCTCATGCTGACCAGTTGGCTATTGATTTCAGCAGGAGTGCTGTGACCCCAAAAAGTTTATCAGGTGGGCGCATGCTGTCAAAAGAACCTGTATCCTATATTTACTATAAAGATATTATACACCTGTAATTTATGGAACGTTCACCTTCGCAAAGCAGGAATTCATGGGGATGTGAATTCCCACCTGGATTTGCCATCCTCAGAGCCACTGCTACCCAGGGCTTCTTGCAAACGTTTACATAGTGGAGAACCCGCCAGTGATCATTTTTCAAACGGGAACCCAATGGAACCCATGGTTTTTTCCACATCTTCTTGGAGCAGTTTACCCCAAGGTAATTTAGGTGTTTGACCTCCACAACTGCCTCATTTGTCCCGGTTTCCCTTGATCTCAGGCCCCCTTGCAGCAAGAGGGCTATGCAGCCGGTGCTCCGGCCTATTCGGGTGGCAGCCCATCGTTCATAGTGGAGTGCAGTAGCAGCCTCACCTGCCCGGGAGGGTTGGCCCTGGGCGCCTGTCCCGGGAGCAACTCGGGCATGGCCTGTGTGGATTGCCTTCCAGATCACTACCAGGACGGGAGTGAAAACTCCAGGAGTGGGGTAGGTTAGTTCACCCCAGTTATAAGTGAACTAATTATTCTACTTACCCTACTGTACCAAGTGGGGTGAATTGCCAAGTGCTGGTGGGACAATAGAATGGTCAGAAGGTGAGAAGATGTGAATGGGAGCGGCCCTGTGATCATGTTGAAAGGCAGCTGGGCACCATTGCCGCTGGAATTGAGCGAAGGGTGGGATGCACTTCCTCGAAGCACTACTGGAAGCTGCAGCCCAACTTAAATGTGTCAATCTACAAACGTTGAGTAGTGCCCATGGCTGTACGTGGGCAAGATATGTCAGCCAACAGAAATCGGACGGCGTTTGTGCTTCAAACTCCCTATAGAGTTTTGACATGTTTTCGGGACTCACAGGTGTTTACGAAAATCTGAAACCTTTTCTTCATTGAACAGAATGAACATATTATAGAAAAGTGTTTGGGGTTGAACATGGAACGCATTTGGACCTTTGACATGTTTTGACCTCTCCGGCTCTGATCTTCAACACGTTTGTCAACAGGACAGGGGTTGGTAAATGTCAAATGTTGATACATTTTAAGGATCTTGAACATCACCTTACATTATTTGTTGTACAGTTATATCATGTTATATCCCCAATAGTCGAGTGATGTTCAACCAGGACATCTACCCCCCAGGAGAATGGACTTTGCTACTCCTGTGCTGAAGCGGGCTTTGCTCTATGGCCTTTGATCATTGCCTTTGTACCTTGACGGTGGCATACAGTGGCCAAGGGCGGGGTTACCGCTTCCGCCCTTAATCAAGTGGGGATGGGTCAACTATGGAATTGCCAAATTTTTGGGGAATAAACATCCATTCACCGTACCTAGGGTGTTTTGTTGGCTGCCAAGTCCCAGCTCAATTTCGCTTCAGAAACTAGGGAGATGCCAGAAAACGTGAGAATTCTACTTGATTCTACTAACACATGGCATCTCCCTCGTGATACTCAAGTCGCTCACGGATCATCTCAATGTGATGGAGCTGAATCCTCCCACAGGTTAGGTGGGGAGAAATGTTGCAAGGATTGCAAGGTGTTCATCCTTTTTTCGCGCCATTCCAGCACAGAAAAGTTGCTTGGATAGCCACAACATGGCTAATTAATGACCATAATGATATAACCGAGTAACAATCAATTTATAGATATAGCGCATATCCGCACAAATATCCACACGATTCCTCACTTCCAATCATTGCACCTCAAAGTATGATTGTTGCTTATCCTCGATGCAACTTTGTCTTGATGTTCATCCTTTTGTTGTCGACTTTGGATGCCTCTGGTGTGTCATGTGGAGAATGTTTCTGGGCAAACTATATACAAGACTAAACAACACGGTAAATGGCGGTTAGTAGGGAGGACTAGCCTGACTAGCCAGTTTGCAACTTTTAACCCAGAAATCAGTGGTCCTTTTACTTGCATAGAAAAAGATGGATGAAACAAAACACTATAGACCTCAGAGACCTTGGCAAAAAAAAAGCTCTGGTAATCATAGCAATGGGCGATATTTGTGTCTTGTGAAAACCGGATGTAGAAATGGACCGAATGGAGGGTTCTCACTTGCCATTTGCAAATGGTACCTCTCCATAGGGAAATCATGGGAACTCTAGTTAGTTTATGCAAGGTGATATCCACCCTGTCCTAAACCTTAGCATATTCACTTCGAGGCTTCCTCCAAAAATGACCAGTCGCAACCCCAAAATATTCAGCATATGCATATAATATCATATAATATTGCATGTAGTAACAATATACTTCACATGTATATATATATATATATGTATTATAGAGAAAATGAGAATTCTGCAATTTCACCAGGCTTGAGGTCAGAGGACCCGTGACAAACAGGAGCACCTAAAATTTGTGTATGTTTAGGTTGACCCAATTAAAGTTGGTCTCTGAGACCCACACGGATCATCTCGCGGACGTCGGTTTCTGCAGAGGAAGCCTCTGTTAAAATCTCTAGTTTCATTGGATTAGTCGACTAATTTCTCTACTGTTACCCTCTGGTAAACAAGCATAGCTTTTGAAAATGATCATTTATAGTGGATTTACCCACTGAAAATGGTGATTTTCCATAGTTATGTTAGTTTACCAGAGGGTAGCTTTGGCTTCATTTCCCCAGATATAAATTATTAATTAGGGTCCCGTGAATAGGGATTTACTTTAAGTGGGTTATTACCCCAGTTAAAGGCACTAGGGCAAGTAGGCTTAGTCCAGTTACCACAGGGGTGAACTAACCCAATTCATCCAGAATACGCTATGTTCATGTCCCCTGATTCTAACATTCGAGCTCAATACATTTATGTATAATGTGTATATATATATATACATATGTATGTATGTATGTAATGTATGTATGTATGTATGTATGTATGTATGTATGTATGTATGTATGTATGTATGTATGTTTATGTATGTATGTATGTATGTATGTATATGTATGTACATGTATGTATGTATGTATGTAATGTATGTATGTATGTATGTATGTATGTATGTATGTATGTATGTATGTATGTATGTATGTATGTATGTATGTATGTATGTATGTATGTATGTATACATATTGCATGATATTGCCCATTATATGGCAACTTGGTTGATAATGATTGCCATCACCACATCCCAATCACCTCTCATCACCTCTAAAAACCGAGGTGGTGGCGCTGATTGTCCTCCTAGGGCTCTACAAATTCGCCACGAAGGTGGACAAACCGCACCGCGACTCTATGATGACGGTGACACGGACGCAACGGACGCAACGGGGGCCATGAACTGCTGTGGAACTGCTGTGGAACTGCTGTCGATGTAATCCATGAGAAATCCAGTAGAGGAAGCGCTGAAAGAGTCATGTCTAAGAGTGGAAGGTCATCTCCCAAACCTGCTGTTAGATCGATAAGGGGGTTTTCAATTTGCTTCGATTTTAGGGAGACTGTTGCTACCATTTGCTGCCTCTAAATTGCATGTTTTATCCCAATGCCCAAATCAGGTGTTAAATTGTGGGCTTACCGCCTTAAATTACTACCGACCGCAGAATACAGTTGGGAGTTCCAATGGCTGATGCATGTTGAACCGTTGAACCCACATCCCATACATGCAGAATGACGTTGATATGCTGGCTAAGCTACCATCCATTGTGATTCCGCGTGTGCTTACAACAAGCACGGTTTAATCAACCATTTAGTTCGATAATCGTTCCCTCAAAAAGGTCCTGGATTTCCCAACCAGCCAGCGTAGATTAATTACAAGATGGTAGCCATCGTCAACCCCTTTGTTTGGTGGATTCATGTTTGGGAAAATATGAAAATGTGACTGAATAGCCTAGATGAAGGGAAACCAAAATAGACAAAATCTGAATTATTGAATTTATGTTGGGCTTTCTGTTGGATGTGGACCCAATTTTGTCACTGGCCCATTCAGATAATTTATATAATACATTATAATGTACCTATACAGTAATGGAGTTTCTGTGATAATCGGGCAATATTGGTGTTGGATGTTGTGCAAACGGACCTCACATAAAACTGACACATGCCTTGTACCTCCCATGAACATATGATAATTTTCGATGCAGTTTCAAGGCCTATATGGTGAGGATGATATTGAAAGCCCTATATTATATACTCATCCTATTGACATAGGATAGGACTTCATGACCTTCACTGCATGAGGTCTTATTTTTTGAGGTCTTAGAAAGCCAATTTGTTGGGTTGTTGAGTGTGAACCATTTTTTTTTGGTCTAACATACTTCAATTGCCAAGATGGATGCCTAAGCGTGACACTTCGTTCTATTTCGCGTGACTTCGTTTTTTGGGTGTCACTTTATACCTGCGTCTTCCAATGTATGCAAAATTATTGCCTTTTCAGGAATTATTGCTGGCGGCATTTTTCTGCCTCCGAACAGATTTTGCATTTTTCTCATGTTGCATGTGTTTGCCGGTTTTGAAACGGCGAAAAAACCCAACGAAACGGCGAACAAAAATAAGAGCCCAAAATGTGGAAACTGAAACGGCGAAAAAAACTGGAAACAGCGAAAATTTCGGCAACCGGCGATAATTATTGCTGTTTCGGATTTCGAGCGATAATTTTGCGATGGATTATCCAGGTACTCGTATGTTATATATATATATAGATACTGTACTTCAATGGTGATTGACCTGGTCACTATCCAACCGCTAAAGTCACTTCTCCAATGGTCGTCTCCAATGGTCGGCGCTTCTGAGGTGACCATTGGTGCAGGTTTGTCGCTGGCCACGTTGCAGGCCTTGTCGGCCTTCTCCAAGGTGGAAGTGCAATGGGTGCCTCGACGGCGGAGTCACTGGAGAATCCTGGAGATGGGAGAAAAAAATATGAAAAATTATGGCAAAATCATGGCAAAACACCATAAACACCATAAAAAAAAGACGATTGGCTATTCCTATTATCCGTTGGTGCAGTCCGCCTCCAAACTGGATGCCTGGACGACGCACCAAGAAGCCTAGAGATTGCAAGCATTGTGGCAGTTTTCCTCCCAGAAATCTGCGCCAGTCGGCAACATGGAACTTTTGCCCACAATGAAGCGACAAAAAAACAACGATTTATTTGTTGTAATATTCATTACATGGTATATTAACACATGACTGTTAATAATCATCAAGAACGGCTGATTTGATTTATAATATTTATATAAAGTTGAGAGAAAGGACTGATGTATTGACTGTTGGCATATACCAACTTCTTGTTCGCATCCTGTTTTTTGCTAACCGGCCTTGTTGGTAGATTGGCCATGCCACCGTCTTTGGAGCGCTTGGAGCGTTTGGAGCGTTTGGGATCATTGTGATCATAGCCCCATTTTATACAATCTTTATTGCAATTTTCAAAGAAAATATAAGGTCTTAGGCCCCTGGGTTTGAACATGCCCCCACCAAAAAAAAAACACAGAACACCCCCAATATATATTTTTGCAAATAGTTTAGAACGACAAAGTAAAAACTATTGAACAAATCAACGTATTTCTACTGCAGTTTTCTCAAGTTGGCCCATCCTTGGTGATCCAAACTGCCTTGTTTTGGTCCTGAGGTGGAGCCTTTGCAGACGTTGCGCGGCGTTTTTGCATTCCTCATCTTCGACATTAGCATCTTGAGGTAGGACATGGGAAGGGGAGGAAACATCAAACATGGTGACTGAGCCAACATGGTGGGATAAGGTTGATATGGGGATACCATGGAGATTATAGTGGTTTATAGAAATTTATAGATGTTTTTTCCCTTAAAGCTTACGACCTGTATTGATGGAGACTTCTCCATATTCTCCCATGATTTACCAAATTACCACAAGATGTGAACTTATCACTGTTCTGACCGTCGCTTAATTACACAATCTTGAAGCTAATGAGAGGATGGCAAACGGTAGATTCTTGACCAGAAATGCCGAATAAAAACACTTACGGTAGTATCATCATTGTTATATTCAATCTTTTTTTGCTGGAACATACAAACCATTTCAGACCCAGGCATGTTTCTTATACAGTAAATCCCTAGCTTTATCAAGGCCAACTGAGCTACAGAAGGGTTGTAGTAGTTTGAATTAAAAATACGAACAAAAACATGTGAAAAAAATGTTTTAAACATGCATTATTTTTGAAATGTGAAAAACGTATTTTTAAAATGTAAAAAAATGTGAAACAATGTATTTTTCAAAGCAATTTTGAAGTTTTGTTCCTTTTCCTTTGCATTTGATTTTATGTTTTTGCTCCTGGTAGTCATTTCTTTGCTATAGATATATTGAACAGATCTGCGATCTGCACAGTCCACTTCCGATCGATTTGAACTGCTCCTCTCCGATTTTCAACCTGCAGAAGTCAAAGTTCCACCTTCCCAACTGGATGTTCAAATGTGTTTTTTCACATGTTTTCACGTTTTTTTTTCCAAGTGCATTTTCAAAACGCATTTTTTCACATTTTTTCCAAACGCATTTTCAAAACGTATTTTTCCACATTTTTTCACCATGTTTTTCACATTTTCTCACATGTTTGTGAAAAAAAGGGAAACATGCATTTTGAAAATGCGCTTGGAAAAAAAGCGAAAAAATGCGTTTCGAACATGTGAAAAACTGTGAATAACATGTGAAAAAAGTGAACACATGGGAACAAAAGGCAGTTGAAAAGTTCCTGTTTCTTAGCTCCATTTTCCCCATTTTTTTCCAGATATATGCTTTTTCTGGTTTTCTTGGAAATCCAATTTTAAAATGTAGAATATTATTAAACTTAAACATTAGGATTCCACATAAGCATACATTAATTTTCAATGATTCATGCCAATAGGTCCACAATGAATGTAAATTCTTTTAATTTAAATTAGGAAAAGTATTAAAAAAAATGTAATTTCCTGTGTTTTCAACATTTTTCCACATTTTCCCTTTTTTCACATATTTCAACATGTTTGAAATGGTTTTCTTTTACATTTTTTCCAAGCGCATTTTCAAAATGTTTTTTTTTCACATGTTTTTCACATGTTTAATCATTGTTTTCAAGCTTGTAGCTGGAAACGGCCATGATAACCCTAGCTACAGTAAACCTGCTGGCTGAACCGGGGCCTCATGGCAGACATTTGCTGACTGTATGCAAGCTGGTTGCTGCGACACCAAAAGAGAACAGCGAGCCAACTCCGATTGAATTCCCCTCCTGTTGTTATGGCTGCCATGTTCACTTAAATTACAGTAGAGCCTAGCCCCTCCCCACCCCAGCGAAAGAATAGCGTCCGCCAGGTTCTTCGCTCAAAGAAGTTTGACCAAACACAATTTCTAGGTTTATCTGAAAAGTTGGCGCATTCGCATGGATAAACAGACAGAGCATGATCATGTGCTTGTTCCTTTTGTTTAAACCATGTTTTTTTTCTCCCTCCGCACTTTGGGTAAAGCAGAGCAGCAGAGGGACTTCCAAGGCCTGGCTGTTTCGTGGGAAATACCAACCCTGTTTTGCACTACCTGGGCTCCTTGATGGTGTGGCCCATGCTTGCTGGCGGAATCATGGCAGCTTGGTGCCGGCACGGCCGACGGATGGGAGATTTTGTTACCGGTGTATACTTCACATACTCCAATAGAGTACGAACAGAATAGATGGGTGAATGGATAGATGTATGGATGGATGGATGGATGGACGAATGGACGAATGGACGGATGGAGATAGATAGATTGATAATTAGACAGGATAGGATAGGATGGGATAGATAGATAGATTAGATTAGATTAGATTAGATTGGATGGATTAGTTATTTAGTTAGTTTAGTTTAGTTTAGATTAGGTTAGGTTAGGTTAGTTAGTTAGTTGGTTAGTTAGTTAGATAGATAGATTTATTAGATTTATTAGATAGATTAGATAGATTAGATAGATTAGATAGATTAGATAGATTAGATAGATTAGATAGACTAGATAGATTAGATAGATTAGATAGATTAGATAGATTCGATAGATTAGATAGATTAGATAGACTAGATAGATTAGATAGATTAGATAGGTTGGACAGATTAGAGAGATTAGATAGATTAGATAGATTAGATAGATTAGATGGATTAGATGGATTAGATAGATTAGATCGACTAGATAGACTAGATAGACTAGATGGATTAGATAGATTAGATAGATTAGGGAGATTAGATAGACTAGATAGACTAGATAGATTAGATAGATTGGATAGATTGGATAGATTAGAAAGATTAGATAGATTAGATAGATTAGACAGGTTAGATAGATAGATAGATAGAAAGATAGATAGATAGATAGAGAGATAGAGAGATAGATAGATAGATAGATAAGATAGATAAGATAGATAAGATAGATAAGATAGATAAGATAGATAAGATAGATAAGATAGATAAGATAGATAAGATAGATATGATAGATAAGATAGATAAGATAGATAAGATAGATAATATAGATAGATAGATAGATAGATAGATAGATAGATAGATAGATAGATAGATAGATAGATAGATAGATAGATAGATAGATCGAACGATAGATAGAACGATAGATAGATAGATAGATAGATAGATAGATAGATAGGTAGATAGATAGATAGATAAATAGATAGTTAGATAGATAGATAGTTAGATATGTAGATAGATAGATAGATAGATAGATAGATAGATAAATAGATTGATAGATAAATAGATGCCTGTGGTTCTTTCAATATAACTTGCAACCTCCTTTGCTGGGCGGGAGGTGCGAATTTTGTTCTTGTGCATGCTTTATATATATATATATATTCACGATCATAGATTCATTTGCATCTAGATGCATGCATACATTGCATTGCGTTGCATTACATTACATACATATATATATATAAGACACACTGAAATTGAATTATAATATATGGTGTGTGTGCATATGCCTATGTATACATGTGTTTATATGTGTGGATGTGTGCCCGGAGGCATGACGGGGGCCAGTGATGAATGGATCCAAGACATTCCGCCAGGGTTTCGGTTGGGGATTTGAGCTGAAGGTCGCGTTCGGTATCGCAAAGTATGCGTTGAAGAAGGACATCGGTTCCTGGTCGTGTCAAATCACACTTGGCGGGAACCACAAGGACCCCCCACAAAGAGAAATGGGCTACGGATGGCCACGGGAAAATGTTAGTACATACATGAATTGGAACATGGTCAGTCATTTGACATCCACATGGTCGCATGTCACATGTCAGTCATCATTTGTGTCAACCCCCTGTTTTCACTTTGGTTTGTTGTTGGACGGAGATTTACATCCACATGTAACATGTCCAATTCTTGTTTGAATCTATCATTGCATATCATGCCTTGAACTGGCTTCATTCAAATCCCCTAAGTTTACCACAATTCATCCAAATTTGGTTTAGTCAAATTTAGTCATCTCTCCCCACACATCTTTGAAATGAAACGACTCCTTAAACTATGTTGCTTGGCATTATATATATATATATAATGTGTGTGTGTGAGTGTGTACATGTGTGTGGCATCGTTTTTCTTCGCCAAACATGGGGAAAACACCCACCATCCGAAGCCCCTCCCCAGGTCTCAACGAGGTCATTACGGCCCAGGGCTTGATCGTCTCCGCAGCGACCCGGTTGCCGAAGTTCCCTCGTCAGTAAACATGCAAAAAACAATGGAAAATCACAATTTTCAATGGGTAAATCCACTATATCTATGGTCAAAACCATGGAAAATCACAATTGTTAATGGGTATGGCAACGAAACCAATAGCAAACTGTTAGTTTACGAATGGGTAAATCAACTATATATCTGTGGCCATGGCTTCAATAGCAAACTGTTGGTTTACGAGAGGGCAATCCATGTGTTTGTGGAAACGCATCTTCCAACCCTTATTTGCCAGGCCTATGTGAATTTACTGGAGGGTACTAAGTAGGTGATGTATCCCTGAAGTTTTTCAAAGGGAACCTAAGTACGGTTAATATCCACTTAGAACTAGGGCGAGCTATAACCTATATACTTCGCTTAGGATGAGTGGGATGAGCCACCAAGTAATTATCACCATTCTAGTAGGAATTTAGATGATTTTACGAGTTGATACACACACATATATACATATATATGTTACTATAACCATGTTAAATCCTTTTTTACAATCATCATATTTAATCCTGTTATACACTGTACTGTACTGCAAAATGGAGATATTTAACCAACCTATTCAACTTCAAGAACATGTAAATGGACATATATACTGTACTAGCTAACCAGTCAGTTTATTGCTATTGTAGGTATCAAAGCGACCAGCGCCTTGGTCAGTACTCAATGGCTTCAAGGTTTGATCGGTGAGCCCCACCAAAAACACGTGGTTTTAGTCGGGTTTAAGCCAGCCAACGACAAATCCGCCATAAATAGTTGTCCAAATATATTACAAAGCAATTTAGCCATTTTTCTTGTATCCTGTTACTTTCGTGATCCACCTGGGCACTGTCAGTATTATTTGCTGTTTACCCAAATCCCCATCTTTGATCCAGAATGATCTCCGGTTGGGTTTGCATTTCCAGCACATCCTGTTTCTTTTCCAAATCAGATTGGAACATATTGGAACCATGTGGATGTCGCCATAGCTACACTGGAGATATTTGGAGGTATTTGTTCCTTTTCAGGTTTTCCAAGTTATATCATATCTTACTGGTGCTTTGTAGGGAATGAGCAATCACTAGTAATAATCATCCCATTCCCCCATTCCCATCCATTCCCTACTAAGCACCAGTAAGATATTTGCAGGAGATGTTTCCTTCCAGAGGTCTTACTGTGCACCTCGCTGATTCGGTGACTTGGTACCTCCACGTGAGGTCCCTGAGCTCACGATAGTGTCCCATTCTAACCCCATGCTTTCTTCAAACTCGCCTTGATACGATCTTTTCATATCTTTTCCCAATCCAAAGATCATGTGTTTCTCCAAGGTTTTTCCATTTTTCCCATGTATTTCCATGTTTCTTTTCATGGTATCCCACCATATCCCATCTTTTCCCATGGCCGGAACGGTGCTCCCGTCGAGGTCTACATCGCCTTGACGGCCTTGGCGGTGCGACCCTTTCAGTGCGTCGGGAATCCGGATGGCACCTCGAGTATGGCAAGCTACCGCAACGTCGTGTGCTGGCAGGTGCCCCGGTGGGCTGGGATGGTGTGCATGGTGCGATGGTCAATTTTCCATCAGTTTTTTTCTTAATGGTGATTTTACCTGAAAAAATGGATTTAAGATGCAAAACATTGGGAGTTCACCTGGGAAAGCGGGAAGTCAAGATAATTTGAGCTATATGTGCAACAAAAGGACACAAAAGGTATATGGTTTGTGGAATTTCGAATGGAAATGTTGTCACAATCCAACTGGAAGTGGGATCATCGCAGCCGAGACTCAAGGGGTACTTGGAGGATCATCGTCGCAGAACGTTTTGAAATCCTCGATTCTTGGGGGTGGCCCCAAAGTAACTGGATCGAACTGGTGCGTCAAAGCTATAGTTCATCCGAGTCAGATTATCCCAGTAACTTGAGTAAACCATGTTGGATACCAAAGAATTTGGATTGTCCAAGTATCAGATGACAAGAGAGTTTTGAATTCCTCCGTGTTGTACTCCAACAGTCGTTTTATTCATGGTCTTGTGCATCACTCAGCCATTTTTCCCGTAAGACGAGCCAAAAATCAGGATCCTGCACATTCCGGAATGGTGGCCCTCTCAGTGGTGCCCTTCTTTGGTAACCTGGCACGGTGCCGGAGGGGTACGCCCTAGAAATTCCTGTCTTCGAGAAAACTTTCAAGTTTTTGGTGGACATGTTGTTGATGTCATTTCCTCAAGGTGTTGATGGTGTTATATGATGTTATCACCATTTTGATTGGTCATAATGAGTCACAATGCCATCCCGCGATGCCATCCCCTAGCCATAAATTCCTCTCCAAAGAAACCCCAGCAGTTTGTATCTACCAATATCTACCAGGTTTTGGGTGGGTGCTTTCGTGGGAAGAGGTTAATTGTAGTAGATACGACTTGTTTTTTGGTACTGAAAACAACCAGTGGAAGTTCCAGTGGAGTGATTTATCGGTCAACCCTGGATTGATCCTCCCTGGTCGATGTTTTTTCTCGAAGGGCGCTCCAAAGAATGATAAGTTGCTACTTAAATGATGACCACCAAAAGCGGACGGGTAATACATACTAGACATATACATTCAATACTACAAAGTACTATAAAATAACTTAAACTAGGGTTCTGGTGTGTGCGTGTGGGTTGGCTACAAATACTATTAATTAAATGCCTTTATACTATAAACAAAACAGTACAATGCCTTTATACTATAAAGTATCAACAGCCTGCAGCTCTGCCAGGAGGCGTTTGCAGCTTCATGGCCCTCATCGTTTGGGCGGTGATCCAATACCCCTTGAAGGCAGAGATCATGAGAGATCTGGATCACTGGAACTCTGAAGACATGTGTAGAGTGTAGATTACTTTGAATGGATAGATAGATAGATAGATAGATGGATAGATAGATAGATAGATAGGTGGATAGATAGATAGATAGATAGATAGATAGATAGATAGATAGATAGATAGATAGACAGATAGATAGAAAGATAGATAGATGGATAGAAAGGTAGATGGATAGATAGATAGATAGATGGATAGATATATAGATGGATAGATAGATGGATATATAGATAGATGGATAGATAGACATACAGATGGATAGATAGATGGATAGAAAGGTAGAT